ACAAGAACAACAACAGATAACGTCTCTCGGAGGTACAGCAGGAGGGATTAGCCGAGAAAGCTCGATGATAAGACGCGTGAAGCATGTGGAGCGTGAAGGATGGCTATGGATTATTGCCGAATTTACATTGTTTTCTAACATCCGGGGGCGCACAGCAGAAACTAGCTGTGAGGTAATAATTATTCAGTTTTTGTTTTTTCACTGACAACCAAAGATTCTTGAAGAAAAAAATTGAACTAGTAAGTGAAATATGGCTTGCCGAGCATTCTTCACACGTACATAATTCGGTAAATCTTAGATTTGAAAAGATTAAAAAGGTGTTAACAGAAGCAGTAATGACAACTGATGAAAGGAATTTGGTGAAATGTGGCGAAGAGGGAAAAGGAGGAAAAGACTGATTATAAGAACTAGTGAAGTGTTGTTTTGGGAAATTAGGTGAGTGACAAAAACTAAGACTACAGATTAGTGAGGATCCTTGGACTTTTGAGGATAGACAAAGAGAGTTAACCTAAAGGGGGATACGGGGGAGACGGCTGTTTACATCTGCTTAACAAATGCACGTGAATTAGACTCATCCCTTAGCTGTAAACACAGGCACTGTTCAGCAATACAGTCCCCTATCCACCATATTTATTGAAGCACATTTATAAAGGCCAACATCGACAGTTCGTGTTTTGACAGACAAAATTAGACAAAAGGTGACTTAAACTGCTGCTTGGCCGATGAATGCTAACTCTTTCGGCCAGTTCCGCACTGTCAAGTTATAAGCGAATGCGGGTGTTAAAGCCTAGGTGTCTTGAAAGAGGCAGTTAGCGGGGTAGTTGCATAAGACTTACCAAACATAGCTCCCTCAGAACCATGATCGGCGAATGCCTGTTCTTTCTGCGTGGATTTATCTCAGCCAGATCTAAGTATTTCTTTTGTTCCCCCTCCCCCCTTACCCTGGCAAAAAGTGCGGGAACTGAGGAAAATCGACATACTCATGGTGCTACATGTACCGGTGAACAAATCGTAGAGTTGTCTGTGTTTCATCCCTCAGCTGTAACTCGAAAATACCTCTCGCTCGTTTCCAGCGCTTCGCTGTCACCAGTGCAATTTGTAGTCAAGCAAACACGCTCGCGTTTCTGCATAATTTCTGTTTATATCAATCTACAACAATACTTGCCATTTTTGTAGATTTGCATTATGGATATGCGAACACTCACGTGGTATCGACTGGACTGGCTTCCCAAATGCACTTTTGAGGAGCTGACGCTGGATGTTAGCGGTTGTGGAACAGTGGTGATGCTTCGCAAAAATATACTACCAGCACCCAATCAAGCACAAATCGGCTCTTTCCTGTTGCTTCCTCGAAATCCAGAAACACTGCTGCTCCGTAGTTTTCGAGCTCTTATCATGCATTTTCCGGCTGTACGAAAATTTGATCATGAAAAAATACTGCAGTGCGGGATTCCAGATCACTTACTTCTCCCACATTAACCCCTGAGATTCTTTCTTTTAAAATGGCAGTTTATAGCACTTATCCATGTTGCTCCAGTCCAAAATTGAAAGTATCGTAAAAGTTAATTAAAGAGAATCAAAAAAAAAGTCGAAGAGATTAGTTGTTAGAGCTGCAATAAAATCCAATGCTCACAGTGATATGAACTAAACGGGAGAATCACGGGAAGAAAGACGACAGTGTGAGGGAGAAGTGGTGGTAGAGACAAAGGAAGAAGAGGAAGAAAAGACATTTTTCTGTAATTTTAGAGCATAGAAGAGACTCTTGCAATAAC